GAGAAAAAGGGTGCCGAGTATCTTATTAAGAAAAAAAAACTGCAACTCCATTCTATTACAAAGATACAAATTGCGAGACACGGTGACACGATGTATCGATCATTACTATTATTATTCTACTTATTACTTATCTATTTTTGTTGGCAGGATTCTAGACGCTAAAGACACCAAATCGATTGCAAATTGCACCGGTGCATTATAAATCAATCTACATAAACCAAATCTATACTCGTTTGTAACGAAGAAGCAGCGTGCTCGTGTAATATTTTCGCGAACAATGCATTCCAGAATGAAACGGGCGATATTATGAGAGAAAAAAAACTATACTCTATTACGGGAACGAGATCCGTGTAAGTGCGGCATCAATCTTGATAATCGTTCGTAACCATCGATCAAACAACGCGGAGTAAGATTTCTTGATTCAGCTTTCAAGGATGAACGCGGTCCGTTGGCGGGTTTTATCGCTTAAATAAAATGCTTTATCGTTTTTACCACGCGATACGCGACGATATCGTATTCGCTAATTGTGCGCCTGGTCTTCCTCTAGCGTCACGTTGACACATACGCACACACGTGTCGATTGACATATCGGACGATACCGCGCGGAAATTATTATCGACGTACTTTCCTCGCAATTTCGCGCCTTGAGAGCATTCGATTTATCTTTGGGATTTGCAAGGATATTTCGGAACGTTCAAAGTGGCTTATCCCTTAGCGTTCAACGTGCTGTCTAATGCCATTCGGTTCAACAAGTCACAAATAACGCGAAAGTAAAATTGGCGAACGCGCCCGCGAATCGCGAACCAGAGATCTTACGCGGCATTACGACGTTCGATATTCGAATTGAATTCGCGTTTTCTCGCCGTGTACTTTTACATTGCCGTAAAAATACACGGGAAAAATATCGGTCGTGACGCGTGACATTTCAAGACACCCCAAAGTGGAAAATTTTATAAAATTTACATCGTGTTCGATCATCCGCAATTTGCCCGCGCATTTATCCACGCTAGAAAAAAATTATAAACAAAGAATATTCTTCCATCTCTCGACACGTAAATGGAATCTCTCGCGACCAAGTGAGAATACTCGATTAGCATTATGTGTTCGACATTCTTGCCGTCTTTCTTCCCAGAAGCCACTTCCTGCGCGTCGCCGATGACTCACGTGAGTCGACTATGGATTTAAAACACGTTACGGTTTCTTCGGTGATCTTTGTTGAAAAGGCCGTGGAAAAGACCAATCACGAAATTTTCCACGGGTGTAAAAATATACGTAAAGAGAGCGAATCAAGGCCGTCCAGCTTAAAAGCTCCAAAGCTCCGCACGTCAAAAGAGATTTTTAATTTCGCTCCTAAGCTCCCGCGATCCGTGAATACAATTCTGCCTGCAGTTTTAGATTATTTTTTTTGCATGTGAGTGTATTGAGAAATCAAATGTTCCTCGTAATACAGAGCACGTAAAAATATAAATAGGATTTTATCGCGAATTAGGTCATTTCTAAAGTGGGCTAAAATGTTCATTCTATCCTACGTTAAAAAGCTTCAATTTGAATTTTTTACTTAGATTTCGACTTTTATAGATTTTGATTTTAATATTTTAAAAAGTATAGCAGGGGTAGACTAGTTTCTTTAATAAATTAGTACGGATATGAATAAATTAAAAATGATCAGAAACGTTAATTGACCCTCTTTCGAAATCGATTTAAGTGAGTGTCAACATTCTTACCACGTAATGTCTTCTATCTGTCTTTTTCCCGGATCGATAACATTTTAAACATTATACATATCTCATTCTAGTGCGCTGCTTCCCTCGTGTTCGGCACCCTCCCTAGTCTCTTCGATATTAAAACGATTAATCCCTATTCTTTTTTTTTTCTCCCGTCGCCGCATTACGGGCTTAAATTGATGAGATTCGTGTCAACGCTTCAGATTTGAAAGACCCTATAACTTCAGGTTGATATATCGGACGTAGGGATCATCTTCATCGTTCCGTTAAAAAACTTTAATAGACAAATTTTTCAAGTGAGCGAGCTCAACAATTGGCAGATGACAAAGAGGTAACTTCAACTCGGGTTTATCTGGGTTCTTTTTTCCGCCACGGAAAGAAAATATGTCTAAGGCTCCTTGTGTCCACACGATGCTAGAAATCGCTCCGAGATCTCGGACGGGGAAAGAATTGACCAATCACATTTCAACAATTTGGCCAATTGACCAACGCGATTACTTAATTCTTTCTCCGTCCGAGATCTCGGAGCGATTTCTAGCATCGTGGACACACAAGGCTTTACACAAACGGAAAGAGAGACGGGGGGAAAAAAACAAGCGAAGACTGAATTAATCGCACTTAATTTTACCACTCTCTCCGATCGTATTTTCCTGCGTTACTGTACATACACTCACTCTTGTTTCCTCTTTCTCCCCTCGTCAAATCCCCATTAGCGTGCACGGCGTTTATTTTATTTTAAACGTCGAGAAAGAGAGAGAGGGTGCAAGGAACTACGGGCCGAAAAGAACCCGCACACGGCTTTGTCTTCGGCGATCTACCTCCGAGCGAGCGAACGAGCGATTTATTTCTTCGTCGCATTAGTCACGCAGAAGCCCCTGCGTGACATTCCTACGGACGCTCGTTAGTGACCAATTACAGTGCAGCCGCGTTTCCACGTATATCCACGTGCGAAAACGGCAGGACCGGAAACGGGGGACGGGGGAGAGACGGAGAAACGTGAGGATCGGTCTAAACCGCTCGGCGTTGGATTCCACCTGAACCGTTTCTTTCCGGACCTCGTGAAAAACCCCCGTCATCGTCGGCGTACAATACATCATCGGCGAGCGCGGCTCGGCTCGGGCGGGCCGTGACCGTAAGAGGAAACGCTAGTTGCCCGGTGTGGAGAACGAGGCGAGCGAGCGAGCGAGCCGGGCGATCCTCGTTCGCGCGCGCACGCACGCGTCCTCTCGCTCGCTCGGGGAAAATATCACGCGGCGAGATAACACGAGAGGAAGAGAAACAACGCCCGGGGTTTCCTCGCGGGGTTCTTCCCGGAGGCGGCGGCTCGTCCGGAGACGAGGCGCGGAGGGAGCGAGGGAAAACGACGACGGCCACGCCGGTGTCGCAGACGCGCGCGAAGGCGATTCCCCCCGCGGATCGTCGTCGCGCTGCCGATCCCGTCGGTTCCCGGCGTTTTCCCCCGGCGCTCGCGAGAAAGAAGGGGAACGGGGAATCCGAATCGCGGGCGAAATTACGCGGCCGATCGTACGAGGCGACCGGGGACGATTCCCCGTCGCGAAGGCGCGCGCGGGCGGCCGCCGACGCCGCCGTCGTCGAGCGATTTCCGGTCGGTTCGGCATGCCACGCCAACGGCGCGATCGTGACGGCGCCTTCGGCGGACGCGGGGGAGAAGAGGAGGAGGACGAAGCGGGACGGGACGGAGCGGGGGAGGAGAGGGAGGATTCTTTTTTTAGAAGCCGCGCGCTTCCCGGTCTCGTGCCGGAATAAAATCCTTACCTCTCGTGCCTCCTGAATGCCCCACGCTCCTCGCTCGCGGGACACGGTTATCTCCCAGGGTTTCACTCGATAAATTCTCTCCGTCGTACTCGTTCCCTCGCCGTCTCTCTTGTCTCCTTCCTTCTGGTCGGTCTCTGTCGCTCGCGCAAGTCGGCTTCGGCGGCTCTCTCAGGCGCGCATACACGTACACACGCACGCAAGAGGCAAGCCTGTACGCTTTCTCTATCTCTCTCTTTCTCTTTCTTTCCCCTTCACGTCCCTCGTCGCCACGACTGAGAGATCCTCGCCCCTCGGCGATTAATAAGCGCTACCTGGCCCGCCCGTGCTCTCTCTCTCACTCTCTCTCTCTTGTCTCTTCTTTTTACTCGGCTCGGCTTTTCCGTCTCTGCACTGTCACGAGTCCATGGGGAGAGCCGAGTACACAACGAAGTCGCTGTGCGTCGACGACCGTTCTCGCCGTCGGACGGTTCTCGCCGACTCAACTAGCCCGACTGACTGACTTCACCCTGGTCGACGAGAGAGAGAGAGAGGTCGGAATTCGCGTCGCACGTTACTCACGCGCGCCAACCGGGTTCTCCGGCCGAGTTCTCTCGTCTCGTCGCCGAGGTTTGTGGCTCGCACACGCAGCACACGCCTGATATATCGGCACCGTGCGTACCGATCGATCCGCAGCCGCAGGCACACGCGACTCGCTCGCGGTTCACGAGGGCAACGCGAACCTCGAAGAAGGCGACGACGACGCTGATTACGCAGACGGACGCGCCTCTCTCACTCTTTCTCTCTCTTTCTCTCCTGTCGCCGCCTGCCTTTCCTATACCCCCGCCGCCTAGATTTTCACACTCTCGCGAGAAGACAACTGAAGACAACGCGACACCACTGCGCGATTCTACCGTTATCTAGGGCGATGCCTCTCCGCCGTTCGCCGCCGCGCCGCCGCCGTGCCCTCTAGGATGCGAACACGCACCGCCGCCATTGCCGTCGGCGCAGCCGACCGGGCGACTCCGCCGCCGTTCTGCCTTACCGACGGAGTCTAGGGAAAATCGCTAGGCGCGGTCATCAGCGCGAAGTGCGCGCAGCGTATCGTCGACGGTCGTTTCATTTGAAATGGTAGCAACAATATGGCGCGCGCAATCGAACACGTTTATTTCCTTTCTTATCCCTCTCGTCTGTAATTTACATTATGCCCCCCCCCCTCTCTCCTCTCTCTCTTGTACGCGCACGCCGATAAAATTTACATGCAAATTAACTTTAATCTCGATTTCGATTTAACTTATTTTTTACTCTTTTTTAGTTTTAAAAATTAAAATTAAATTTATTTACATTTACTACTCCGCGTAAACGATTGTTAGAAATGAACATCAAATCATGTAATTAGTCCATTAACTGTCTAACTGAAAGGTTACTAATTATTCGTGGACACACGGAGCTACGCGTCGTCGCCGTCCTCCCCGGACGAGGAAAACTCTAGGGGAAGGTAAATAAAGCGAGTGAACCTAGCGTTACCTTCCACGCTCGGAATGTTCTATTCTAAATCGGAACATCGAGAATGTTTTGGACCTTGAACGAAACTGAACGAAACTGTTTTTTTTAGAGTTCGCGCATGACTTAGCCTCTTACTATCGCGCGCCTCCTCACATTCCGACGTGCATAATCGTACTCCGTACGTGCTGCGACCACGAGAGAATGGGAACCAACGAGAATTGGCCCAGCCGCAAGCTGAAGTGCGCGAGTCAGGCGGAAATATTGCGATCACATCAACGGGATGACGATTTCGTTAAATATCTGCGGGAGAAACTCTCCGAGATATCGCAGAATTTCGGAGTGCACGGAACGTTAATTCAACACATTCGGTCTGACATTCCGCTCAAGCTGTTATACTTTGTTTTCACGTCGGGCATGGGCAATCAGACGTTGGGCGAGGAGTACACCGGTATAGTGCAGGCCAATCTAGAGCAGCGTAGAGTTCCAACGTTAACTGTACGTTCAGCCCGAGAGATCCATCACAGCAAGCTCTCCGATAACTCAATTAAATTCTGGCTTCTGTTTCTCCTTATTAGGTGAGGGTATTGGCCGCAGTTTTAGAATGCCTCGGTGAGAGAACGTTGCTCAAATTACTGGAACGGTTACAAGCGCGCGTGAATCATCCAAACAGCGAGCTGACTCCAGCGGCAATAACGTTTTTGAACACCTTGTTGTCAAGGTTGCGGACAATGATACCCATAATTGTATTGTTCCACAAAGGGTTATTTTACATTTGTGGCAGATACTACAGCTTAGGTAGGAGAATTGCCGGATTAGATTATACAAAGGTAAATTTGAAGTTCTGTGGACAGATATTGATAATATTGTAATCCCATTGTTATACTTACGTAATGATTTGAAGGTATATGGTCCTCGACCAGTAGACACTGTTAGCTGGGGATTAAGATTATTGGGAGTTGCTACTCTAATTCAGTGTCTGTTGAGAATTTGGCAGAGCGGCACATTGCAAGACACTACCGCTGTAAATAATGCTAAATGCATCAGTCACAATTGTCAATTGTGTCTCGAAGCAACGGCAACGACTGCGACGCTATGCGGTCATCTGTTTTGCTGGAGCTGTCTTAGTGAGTGGTTGCGCGTTAAACCGCAATGTCCATTTTGTAGAGAATATGTTCCACCGTCGAGAATTGTCCACGTAATGAATCTGTAATTTTCTGTGATAATAGATTATATTTCTTCCATATATACATTATACATAATGTAAAAACTGTATATATTTATTTACATATATGTTATATAATTACAAATAATTAATATATTTTTAAACAAATGTCTTCATCTTTAAAATAAAAAGAATCTATTCAGTAATTTTACCTTTTTTTCTTTTTGAAAAATTTATTGTCTTAAAATACGAGATTATGTGGAATTTATGAAGAGATTGATAATCAATTGGCAAGAATTAATATTAATTTCATATAGAAAGAGATGTGAAAGTGATAATAACATATTTGCCTGTGTAGACATACAAAAATATCAAGTTTTATTCAATTATTTCTGCACATATCGTGCTACATCTTGTATAACAGTCCAATTTTGAGACAAACAATAATGTACAATCGTCTCATTTTTATTTTATAAATTCAGTTTATAAAATTATTAATTGGACAAAAGTATTATATTAACAATATAATCGACTTTTAATATTCTAAGATCCTTTGTTCTATATTTTTCCGTTATAAGCTAAATTTCTTTTAAATTACAATTTTCTTGCTTTCTTATTTACATCTGATCATGGATTAGATAAAACAAGTTAAAAACAAGGCATGCCAATCTTTTTATATACGCAAGAAAATTCTGCATATCGGAGAAAATAAGAAATAATTAGAACAGAAGCAATGTCCTAATGATCTTAGAATAAAAAAAATCGACTATAAATTCATGCTCTTGGAAAGTCACTCAATAACATTCGTCACTAGGATGTGCGTTGAATGGAAGTCATCCCAACAATATTTCCAAAATATTGGCTGATTCCACCTGATTCGTCCTTCAATCGAAATCCATGAGGTCCATAAGCCTTATAAAATATATTTCGAAGACAATGCAACCGTTCTCTACGTCTGGAATCAAATTTTTAATATAAGTTGCAAATTATGTAAAAGAAACAAATGCGATTCAACTGAGAAATTTGCACTAAAGACTCACTGGGATACACAAGTCTCATCGTCATTTAGGTTCGCGCTACGTTCTTGCGACGTACGCCATGTTCTACGGCAAGTAGCACATGATGGCTTGCAATCTGAATCGGGCGCTGATACGTTGTCTAGATGTAGGGCATTAGCAGTCGTGGAACCACATAAGCTACCAGTCCCTGTTACCAATTGCCACGAATCTCCTGAAGACGTCGAATCGTTTCGTTGTCGAACATGCGAATTGCGTGGTATGGGAACACCAATCGGAGATGTACGATTTGCAGGCAACGGTGAACGCGGTTCTTGTGCAGCACCACCATCTTTATTTGGAGATGTGTTAAGTGTCCCGTGTGCAACATTTCTATAACATATAATATATAAAGATATGTTAGAAACCTGATTGAAATATATAACAGGTGACGTTAATATAAAAATAAAAAACTCCTGAAAATAAATAATTAAAATAATCATACACATTGTTTCGTGAGTCCTCTTGATTGTCCACCAATGAGTCAGGAAGAAACACAGCTGGCGATGAATCACCATCTACGCTATTTTGTTCAATAGAACTTGACGAGCTGTTCTTAGGACTGAAACTAGAGTTTGTAATGATTTCGAAAGAATCGCTGTCAATCACAAAAGTGTCCGATTCACTATGCTTCGACGTTCTCTCGTAACGTTTGTGTATGCTGAAGTGTTCGTTTTCAATGTACTTTAAGAAATCAAAACAGAAAAACAGTATCTCCTCTCCTTTGTTGAGTCGATCTGCTAAATCGTGTCCAAAAAGCATCCAGTCATAGGCGATGGTATAATACAGTAGTTGATACGAATCCAATGTCGTATGAATGACCCCATCGGCCCACAGACTAATTCTCAGTAATGAAATAAATAGCGGCGTGCGGTCCCAACCTACAAATAACACATTATTAATTTCATTATAAAATATTTATTTTGGAGATTTTAATAGAACGATATGTCCATACCTGAGATACAGTGAATCAGTAATCCGTTATTACTATCACTCAGATATCTCAGTATTAATCTTAAATAGTTCTGCGTTAATTTGACTAGATTCCATTCCGTATACTGATCCCAGTTGACTCGTAATTGACTGGAGATTGGGTCTTCAGGTACACATATTGGCGCGTCTATGTAGTTCTGGCGCCAGTTGAAAACCAGATCCTTCGATCGGTAATCTTGGTCTCTAAATTCCTTGAAGAATTCACATCCAGGATATGGCAGTGAAATGAGTTTAAAGTTGCTGTACCGCCTCTCTTGGTCTACCTTCTCCGACGAAGTTACGCTGAGTACCGAACAAAAGAGCTCTGTTTAAGGGCCTCTAAAAGTGGATTCATAGAATAAAACAGACCGCTCATACTAAGGACTATTATTATGGAACTTTACTGTTTTTAAAGATGAACGTCTTCTTATTGGAATAGTTATTCTCTATGTATGCAGTTTTCTTCTGGAAAAGCTGTACATGCTTCATACTAAACATTATTATTACTATGATTTTCACTCATCGTTCACAATGATTTAATGAAATAAATAGTTTTATAGAGCCATCTTGTTTTTCTTCTATTCTTCTTACACATAAACAACTTTTTATATTTCTTTTAATAATTATACTACTAACAAGTCGGTTACCTTCTTTTTAAGGGAACATTCAGAAACAACGTCACCCATAGAAATATATGCAAATGCAATTACTAGTTTAGGTGGTAGATCCCACCATGCTCCCGACAATGATTCCGAATTCTGGTGCTCCTGGGAATTTTGCAGCAAATCTGACTAGCTTTAAATGATCCTGAGGCATGCCTAAATCATTCCCCAAAGTCTCCTTTCAATCGCGAGGGTAGAAGGTAACCGGCTTACTTGTAAGTTCTTGCTATTACTAAATTTTAACAGACAGTAAAGCCTAGTTCTCAACAAGTATTTGCTTCATGACACGTACAAATACAAGAGACTTAGTATCATCCTTACGTCATTCCATATTTAACTTTCTTCTTCTCCACCATGAAGTCTACGATGGTTCCTACATTAAGAGTCTTGAGAAGTTCTATATCGTGATATCTAACTTTATTTTTCAAGTCAGTGAGCTTCGATTCTTCCTCGGGTAGGCTTTCCTCCACCTTTGTGTCTGGCTGCGCTGAACTGGCGCTGCTGCTGGCTACACTAGATAGCAAGAAATCTAATCCGGCTCTACCGAACATTTCCGGGCCGCTGGATAACGTTGAGGATCTGCATACGTGCCTACCCTTGTAAAATATCACTGGCACCGGAAATCTTGAACGACATCTGGCAAATCTTGATTGTGTCATCAGTTTGACGAGCTTGCTTCTTAACAATATGCTCTCGTACGTATTTTCCATCACGCATGGAACCGGCGCTGCCGCTAGCGCGTCGAAGTTTTTCGAATTTCGAAACTTGTCATGTTCTAATATTATAAGGTAACTGGGATAATGCGCGCAAAGTTCACCTCCGCTGTTGTCTATTGTAGAATATTCGTAATCAAAGGCCGCAAGCAGCACACATCTCTGCATGATTTCCTGATTCTGCAAAAAGATATGGGGTCCATTAATTTCACTAAGAGTCCAATACGGATGTGCTTAATCGTATAAAATATATTAATGGGACAACTACTGTAACATCCGCATCCTTGGTCCTGTACGTGTTCTTAGCGAAGTGCGTGATGAGATTTCGTAGACTATCTATACCAATCTCAGTCATGATTCGCTGTGGCGTGAACTAGACGTGTTTTCTCACTTGCAGTAGAAAATTGTGATATCTTTCCAAGGAGGCACTAGATTCTTATTACGATATAAATTCACGGGATCAGTAGTTGCTAGTATCTTGCCATTATTTTGCATGACAAAGACACGGCACAAGCACTGAATTTAAGGTATGTACGCGCGGCCTACGTGGCATTGCAAATCAATATTTATCAAATTCTTTTCGTCACAATCCATCTTCAAACGTCGACAACAGGATCTTCCATGAATGTACAACGGTATAACATGTTAATTCTGTAGATAATAAATTTTACCTGTGTTACGTGCTGACTTATAAAATATATTTCATTTTACTCGAGACATTCTGTCGCACTTATATCTACGATTTCATATCTATTGCTGTCTACAGTTTGTATCTACAGTGTTATCGAAACATCGGGCGAAACTTCAGAGAACGAAAACAATACAAAAACTTTCAAAACACTCCACGTCGAAGGAAACATGCGCGTGATTTATGCCACATATTTGCTAAAACGCGACGGCAAATGCGTGAAAAATTGGAGGGTGAGAAAAGAAATGTATATTATAATTTTTTTTTTTAATAAAAATGAATATATTTTTGCGAATCTTGTACTCCTCGAAGGCTCAATCGCGAGAGGTCAAGAGCCGCGCGCGCGATTGATTCCTCGTCGCGATCATGATTCTTTTCCTACGAGCACTGCGAAAGCGTGTATAACCTATATCAACACCGCCGCGTGTGCCATCGGTGTCGCTGAGAAAACATGCGGCGTTTAAATCCCCGCCACGTAGGGAACGGAGACGTTACGACGACGTGTCGTAAGGGCTATTGTACGGTCCGCGTGTTTCCGCAACAATGGGCGATGCATTTCCGGAATTCCGATAACTCGGGGAAAATCTGCGACGCGAGTGCACGAGGGTCCGCGAGCATCTTCGAATCGGGAATGATCGCGGCTTCGGCTTCAGCTGAGAAATACCCGTGAATACTCGCATGCTCCTCCCCCGCGGCTCTCGAGAGACGAAGGGCGTCGCTCCTCGCGCGCACGTTCCGGCACGTTTGAACCGCTCGAACGGTTTTGGAACTGTCAATCGGGACGAGTCACGAGTCGTCCGAACGCGATTATCACGCGGTCCGCGGTCGTCCTATCGCGGTCACGTTCCCGTACTTTTAAGGTTATCCGCGAGACCACGGCGCGGCGGCCCTCTTCGACGGCGGAGGGGGATCGATTACAGCGCCGCCTGCCGTCACGAGCGAATTGAAATCTGTCACGTGACGATTACTCACGCATATTCGAATTTATGCGCGTGTCTATATATAAAAGCATTTATATATCTTTTAAAGAAGAAAAGTTTATAAATGGGTAGAAATGTACGCATGTTACTTTAAGATTATCCACGTTTCTATACGTTATGTCTAATAAATTGAAAAATTAGAGGAGAGCATTGTCCGATTCATATCAATGTTTTATTTCCGCAAAGTTGGAATTTTTTTTTTAAAGCAAGGCATTTACGTGTAAAATATTTAATAATCTATATTTGCATTATGCAGTGTAAACTATGTACAACGTATCATCTATGATTTATGTAAATAATGAATAATCTTTAAAGATTATTATCGAAGATTTATATTTTGTCAGAAATATTGAAAATTTGAGTAATGCATTTTTTATTTTGTTTGCAACTTTATTTTTAGAGCCATTATTTAGGTTGAGCATAATTTTTCAAATGTCAGAAAAAATTAACAATGGTTTTAAAGATTTTGATTATACCTGTGAAAAAAGTAAATATACATTATGCACATTGTGTCGCAATTGTAAGCTAAACAATATACTGCTTTTTATCTTTTAAAAGCTGTTAAAGACCAGCGTAATTAATATTTCTATATTAACATCATACATCTTCTATGGCATTGTATAATTAAGAAATAAATTAAAATTGAAATACATCTCACCTAATCTATATATAATCTAGTTTAAACCTACTCTTTATTTTTGTACGATTATTTTTCGCCAAAATACAGTTTAAAGAAATCACGTAATCATTCTTTATAATAATTTACATTGGTCATATTGTCTACATGAAACCTTTTTCGTGCAGACAATACGTAATCTTGAAATTTGAAATTTCCCGCAAAACGAAAATACACTTGTCTGACCGGCGCCGGCTACGAGCCACGGGCGGGAACGGCGCGATGGCGCCAGGCGCGTCGCCGGCGGCGACGCGCGCACGCGCGGTCGCGCCCGACACGGCGGACCGGCGGAATCGAACCGCGGCGCGGTCCGATACTCCGAGCGCGAGGAACGCGACCGCGGCTCCGCTCGGCAATATGGCGAGTGTGCGATGAGGGGTTGTCGCGTCGTGCGTGCCTCGCCTCGTCTCTCGCGCGCCTGCAGTGACGTTCGTTGATCGTGTGTCGTTCAACCGTGAGATATGCCGACGCCGACGGTGACGCGGATTCGCGGCCGCCCGTCTTGAATCGGCGCGCGCGCCTCTCGCGTGATCGTGTCAACGCCGACGGCGACGAGGGCGACGGCGGCGGCGTCGACGACGACGACGACGTCGGTCCGTCGTACGTCTCCCCGAAGACGTGGGGGTGAAACAACGTTCGCGCGACGTTCTCGCACGCGCGCGCGAGAGAGGAAGAGCGCGAGGATCGGAGGTAAACAAACGGCATGAGCGCGGTGCTCGGCGGCAGCGTCGGCGAGTCGGCCGCGCCGGCGGGCGCCCTCCTGGACCCGGACGTCGAGGGCATCCTCGAGGAGAAGAACCAGCTCATCAGCCGGCAGTACGCCGAGATCGAGAGGCTGCAACGCGAGCTCGCCGAGGTCTCCGGCGAGCGGGACGCCCTGCTCTGCGAGGTGTCGAAATTCAAGTTCGAGCGCGAGATGACCGACCTCAAGCGGCTGCACGATGACAGGTAGGCGCTCCGAATACTCCGATACTCATTCCCCTCGCTCGTGCCTTCTTGACCGCTCGTCCTCCCACTCGTGGCCTCCCAATCTGAGAGAAGGTAGAAACAAGGAATCGCACTCCGCGTACGCTTGTTTTTTTTTCTCTTTACTCCGCGATTCCGTCCAGTTTTCCTTCCCTCCGCGAGGGAGTTGAATCGCCTTTCAATTTGAGCGCGGAATGTGTGACGCGAACGCGGCCTGCATGCGAGGGCCGGGCCTGGTCGCGATACTCGCGATATAGAAATTCAGTTTTACCGGCGTGAAAGTGCTCTCCTTCTCTCTGTCTCTCTCGTAAGTTTGCTTTTTTATTCTTAATAAACGCGATCTTGGGCGCGTTTCCCCATGCCTTTTGTACCTGAACCGCGCGAAACGGCGCGCGGTTTTAAGGCGGGACGAAGCGACGGAGATGAAAAGGTATATCCGAGATGCGAGGAACTCTCGCGAGAGAGAGAGAGAGAGAGAGTTCTGTCCATCTCAGTCGCATTCTTCTATATACTTTTCGCGCTTAAAGCGAGACGAGGGTGCAGCGGGGTAGCTGAATGCCACACGGAAACCCACATTTTTTCCCCCCTCTTTCGAATGAAATAATGAAAGGTACGAAAAGAAATTGTATAGCGCGGACAGCGTGGTAGCTTCTTAACGTATAACGTTCTCGTTTATTCGCGCTTCTGCGACGGGAACGAGGCGAACCGGGAAAACGCGGAAACCGAAAAAGGGCGTATCCGCCTTTTTCCCGCGCATTTAGGGCGCGTTGTTCTTTTTTTTTTCATCCCTCGACCTTCCCGGTCAGGGTTTTCCCGATCGTCGTTTATTTCCCGGTTTTCTCCCCGTGTAGAAAATCCAGCGCGAATCGAACCGAGGGGGTGGCGGCAGTTCGCCCTCCCTCGCGCGCGTCGCCTTGTCCCTCCCCCCTTTCCTCCCCCTCTAGAAAAAGCCATCAGATGTCAATCATCGCGGAATTGATATTGCACCGGCGGCGAGCGTGCCGATCGCGGGGGCGGGCGTCCTCGCGCAAATTTTCCCGTCGCGTCTGATGAGTATCGCGAAATACAGGGGGACGGGGGG